TTAAAAGGATCTTTAGCTTAAAGTTTATAGTAAATTTATATGTTTTTATTATAATTTTTATTATAAACTTACACTCACATATAAACATATGTGACATCTTCCCTGACTAATATGAGTGCCGCCAAATGAAAACCGGTCATCGGGCTTTCAACTATATTTTGTATCGGACACAATCCTAATAAATTGGATAGACTATGTCCGGTACAAATCATAATTGAAAGCCGATGACAGGGTTTCCCTTGACGGCATTCATAACTAATCACAATGAGCTAAATTTCTCAGAAGAGAGGGGCTCTATAGTAATTTAAGAAAATTTTTTTATTAAATTTGATCATTTTTGTTAAGCTATTCTTGTTTAAAGTTATAAAAAATTTTTATTATAAAATATATACTTGATTTCTTTTGACTCACCTCCATATATTTATTTTGATACAATATTTTTTAAATGAATTTGATGAATCCCAACAAACATAATTGATTATGGCTCCGGATATTAATGTAAATTTTTTGCCACCATTTCTACCTTTACGTTCTACAGTTCTTTAAATTTTTTTATGTTTTAATATATTCTTGAAATCGAAATCCTGGCGAGTTTATGCAGTTTTTGTGCAAAACGCGCTTCCTTGTTTCAAAAGTTCATTGATTTCTCTGTCTTTTTTTTTTATTAGTAAGAAACATGTTAGTCTATAGTGTGGAATTTTTTTAAAAAATAAAAAATCCAGAGCTGATTTAGCCATTGCTTACAGTACCAGAGGTCTCATTCAAGAACCTCATTTTAAAATGAATAATGTCGGGTATGATTCACAAATTCAGAGACATCATTGATGGAAAAGAGGATACTTTATGTGGTAAGATATTATTTCAGGAATACCATATATCAGGATCCAATTCACCTTTACATATCGATATTTAATCCAGAAATATCCAAATCACGTGATAAGAGTTTACACCTTTATATATCTGGTATAGTCGTCTCCGAAAGTACGTACTGTAATAGTAACAGATAAAATTTTCAATGATAATTAAAGCCAAATAAAAATATATACCGGTGATATTTAGGTTGCATATTCTCGAATTCTAACTACCTTGTGCAATATAAATTAGTGATTATCAATTTCATCAAATTCAATTCGAAACGACTGCACGTACACACATACCAATATATTAAATGTTAAGAAAAGGTTTGCGATATGGAAAAGGAAACATTTAAGTAGAGGTCCAATCCGGATAAATCCGTCACCCATTTATCTATATCTGAATTTATCCATTTACTATTATTGGTATCCGGATATCAATAGTAAAACAGATATCCGATGGATAAATGGATAAACGGATAATGGATAGGAACACTATACTTAAAATTTCAGTATAGTATGGGTCAACCCGACGAAACTTGTCATTGACAACAAACTCCCATGCGGAATATATTTGTTTTTTTTTTATAATCATATGTTCTAGTATTCAATTTTGAATCTCAAGGTGTAATTGTTGTGTAATTGTTGTGCTAAGCGAGCGGGTGCAACTGCGCCTAGTTCTAGTTCCAACAGTTACTTGAACGAGTTATATATCGAAGACAATTGTCAACGCGATGCGAAAATTAAATGTCAAGGAGGATCAAGAATTATGGAGTTGGAAAGAATATTTGACAGCTTTAATGAGATTTAATAGATATAAAGTCGATACGGAATAAATTTACGGGTTTATAATACTAACTGTTTTATCTTAACCTTTAATTTAAAATTAAATTTGGTACAAACCCTATCGTTATTCGGTACTGTACATATAAAGTTATTCCGAAGTGCAATTAGTAACGTAATTGATGTGTCACTGATAATCATCATTTTGGCACGATACTATGTTATATGGAATTTTATAGAGTATCGTTGTATTAGAAAAGCATATCCATTGTTATCCATAGGCATATAGATTTTCTTGCGTAAGGATTTTTGTAATGCATCAAATCTTCTCTCTATATTTAACATTAAAAATACATAAAACACGGCTGAAAGATCTACTTTAATAATTGATTATCGTTCCCTATTTTTATTGTTCGAAGCGTAACGAATAAAGTCCAGAGCATAGCTTTAGCTAAAAGGCATACCATACCCTCTTGGGCATCCCGGGCGTTTTAAAAATCACTATACATGTTCCTTTTCTTTTAAGCGACTTTATATAGAGCTCACATATGCAACTGTGCTTATTTGCATAATCGTGATCTCCATAATAGGGTCACTTAAAGAAAAGGGATATTAAAAATCAATGCTGAAATAGTTTTTACAGCATGTATCTCTAATTCAACGGCATTCTATAAAGCATGCCTCTAAATTTTTTTTCGCATATGCAAAGTTTTAGTCAAGGTTATTTAAGATTAGGCTACTATAGGATTTAGGTTTAGAGTTTATAATAAGAGTATAGGTGGATTTTAGTAGGGTTTATATTTCAAATCGATATCCCAATTTCAGCATAAGCAGTGACATTTATTTATCGGTACCAGTCAGTATTTTAGATATTTATTGTGCTGTTATTCGTTTTACTAATTGTAATGGGTTTCACTAATATTTTGGGATTGCTTAATTTTAGATTCAGTAGGAAATAGCGTCTAACCGTCAATTAACAAAAAATGGTATAATCATATCGTTTCACATGACATGATGGGACTCACCAATCATTCAAATTCATTTGCATTCTTAAAATTACGGGAAATAAAAAACAAAACCCGAGAAATAATTGATAATAAATTCGGGAAAATAGCTAAAAGAAAAAAGCAAATGTTGCCATGGTGAATAATAAGATACATTCAAAATATTTTATATCTTTATTAATTATAATTTATCATAACAAAAATTTAAAATAGCATGATGAATATAAATTAACTAGAAAAAATCATAAAGAATAACTCATTTTCTTATTCAGTAAACATTAAACCATAATGCTTACAAAAAGCAAGCAGTCAATTCATTTAATTTAGGTCAAATACAATTTAGACACTTCAACCTCCTGAAAAGGTCTAATAAACAATTCAATTCCTTCATGAACCACAGCGGCTTCACCAATCAAGCGCTGCCTTAACATGTACATTATAGTTCTACCGTCTTGGGCAAATTGTCTAATACCTTCAGAAAGTTTTTCAGTTGCCATTGCGTCTTCATTCAAATTCCATTTGAAAGTTTTCTCATCGTAAGTAGTTTTTGATTCCAAATTTTGATGCGCTAATTCATGACAAAAACAGATATATAAATATTGTAAATTTCCAAAAACTTTAAACTTTCAATATTTATGCACATATATGTCTATTTTAAACCTACCAGAATCAGGACTCAATTTTCTTTCAATCTTTTTATAAGAGGTTTGCAACTTATTCAATAATTTAGGACTGATTGTCAAGAAATCGCAGCCGGCCAATTCTTCAATTTCACCTATATTACGAAAACTTGCACCCATAACACTAGTTTTATAACCATATTTTTATAATAGTTATAAATTTTGGTCACGGATATGACACCAGGATCTTCCGAAGAATTGTAGGTTTTATTGGTATTTTTTGTATACCAATCGAGAATTCTACCGGCATATGGAGAGATTATTGTCACACCCGCTTCTGCACATGCAACAGCCTATTAGAATAATTTTGAAAAGTTAACATTTGATAATAAAAATCGAGGATGAATTTTTTAAAAAGTTTACCTGAACAAAGGAGAAAATTAGAGTCATATTACATTGGATTCGATCCTTTTCAAGTATCTTAGCAGCTTGAATTCCTTCCCATGTTGATGCAATCTTGATCATTACTCGTGACTTATCAATACCAATTTCCTTGAAAAGTGAAATAAGATGCCTGGCCTTGGCGATTGTTGCATCAGTGTCAAAAGAAAGTTTTGCATCTACTTGAACCGACACCCGGCCCGGGATAAGTTTGAGAATTTCTGCACCAAAGTTTACCAACTATAAATAAATTGAATTTAGTAAAATTCTTAATAAGTTTATTGAGCTAGAAATAAGTTACCAATTTATCAGCAGCCAATTCAGTCATTTTCTCAATGGAACTAATAATCAAAAAAAATTAGTTAATTTACGTTGCAATAATTAATATAAAATGTCGGGATGATGCTGAAATTGGCTGAAATTTAGAGTCCCCATTTAAATCTATAATACCTACTAAAATTCACATATATTTTTTTACTAACAACACTAAC